TGCCTCCATTTTCTCATGATGAAGATGGAGATAACATTCTTCAAGAGAGTGGCAGCTGATCAGGTAGAATATTATCTAGTAGTTCAAGTAATTGGGCTGCAGGATAGAAGGATGATGAACTGGTGACGGCAGCTGTACCCCAAAGGTCCAGGTCTAGAGTAGTGAACCCCCATAGAGAAGAGGTAGGGGGAGGAGAGGGGTGAGCTGGGTGGAGCGAGGTCGGAAAGACTGGGGAGTGATGTAATCCTGGTAGGGTGCAGGTGTGTGTACTTTTGAAGAGACATTTAAGGAAGTCAGAAATGTGGTCACATGCTATTGGGTTTAGATTACAAATGACTGACGGGTTGAGCAATTTTTGAGTTTATGAAGTGGAAGCTTGAGTTAAAACCATCTGTTCAGAAGAATAACCCGAGAACTTGTGGGGAGTGATATTAAGAAGTACCTAGCAGAGATTTATTATTATGGCCATGCTCTCAGGAAAAGCATGAGACCACACTTGTGATTCCCTTCAATGTGCAGTGCCAGTGATGTTATTGTAGTTCATTTTTGTTTTAGCCGGTTCAGGCTCCTGGTAGATCTCTGATGGCATCTCATAACATCGCCAAGCTCATGGAGCTGTGTGCCAGGTCTGCGATGCCAACTGCCTTCCTCTTCTCTGACATGAATCCAGCCCAGTGTTGAAGGCTCCAGGCCCCCTCCACAGTCAGCATTTCCTGTCCACCATGCACACAGTGACTTCTCTTCTCTATTTTAAGTCCACTGGCCTTATTGCTTACTTGCTTGAACATAAATTCTTCTCTTTAGAGATGTTTATTCTCACTCTCCAACTGACCTATAAGCGAATGACAAATGACATGGGGCAGAGTCCATATCTCCTAGCTCTGAGTATCCCTTTAGTGCTCTGCACATAAACACCGTGGTCAGTCCACTTCTGTCATGTGGTGGCCAGGCCAGGAGAAGAGGCAGTGGGAACCAGGAGGACTCACCCCTTGTATAGTGGCAGTAAAATTGGGACAGCATGTGGGAAGCTGGCTGGGGCTGTCTGACTCTTTCAGTCCTAGCACTACATAAATAGTTATCAAATCACCAACAATGGACAGG